TTGGCTTTGGCGCGGTGCTCATCGATGAATTTCACGAGCGCGGCTGGGAGGTCGATCTCATCGCGACCATTTTGCGGTCAAAGCGCTCGAGCGGAGCGCTCGACGCGCCGCTCGTGTTCACATCCGCGACGCTCGACGCAGAATCACTGGCCGAAGAGCTCGACGCGCTCGTCTTGGAGGCGTCTGGACGAACCTTCCCGGTGACTATCGAATACACCGATGATGGCGTAATGATGCCCACGAGAGAGGATCTCGATGTGCGCGTGGAGCGCGCTGTCCGCAACATCATCTCGCGCGATGAAGAGGATGGAGAGATCCTCGTCTTTCTCCCCGGCAAGGGCGAGATCGGCGCCTGCGCAAAGCGCCTCGCCGCGCTAAATCTCCCGGGGGTCGAGCTCCTTGAGGTTCACGCGAGCCTCCCGATGCACAAGCTGATGCGGGTCTTCGAAGAGCCGAAGCCAGGACGCCGGAGGATCTTCCTTGCGACCAACGTCGCCGAGACATCGGTCACGCTCACAGGGGTCACCTGGGTGATCGATTCAGGGCTGGTGAGGATGCAATTGCACCGGGCAGGACGGACGGCGCTGGCGCTGGTGCCAACCTCCGAGGCCTCGATGGACCAGCGCACAGGACGCGCTGGTCGTGTGCGCGAGGGGCGCTGCATTCGGCTCTGGAATCGCAACTGGGCGCCCCGTTCGATCACTCCGCCAGAGATCGAACGCATCGAGCTCGACGATCTGCTCCTGCGCGCGGCCATCTGTGGGCTCGATGGGAAGACGTTCGAAGCGGCGCCCTGGGTCACACCTCCGCCCGAGTTCGCGCTACAAGGCGCGCGAAAACGACTGCGAAAGCTGCGCGCGTTGGATGGGCAAAACACGCTCACCGATCGCGGCGCGAAGCTCTCGGAGCTACCCGTGTCCGCGCACGAAGCGAGGTTGTTGCTCGATCCTCCCGAGGAGCTCGCTGGCGCGGTCGCAGATCTGGTCGCGATCATGCAACGAGGCACGCGATTGCTGCTTCCTCCAGAACGGGGCCGAGGTTCCACTGCACAAATCATCGAAGCACGGCAACGACTCTTCGAAGGGGTCAAGGACGAGGTCTTCGAGGCGCTGATCGCGCTTCGACACGGGGACCCGAATCGCCACGCATTACACGGCAGCGCGCTGGCCGAGACGCGGAGGATCGCGTCGTCACTGCGAGGCATCCTCGGGTTAAAGGTGCTCGATCCGACCTCTCTTTCGCGCGGCGAGCAGCTGCCCGAACCTGAAGCTCTCGCCGCATATTTACTCGAACGCGCGCCAGAGATGGGGTTCGTGATGCGTGACCGCGCGCAGCGTCGATTGGGACAAAAAGGTCGAAAGAAGCGCTCGAGCGGACACCCCTGGGGAAATGGTCAGATCGAACTGAGCGTCTCGCCATACCGCGCGCACAACGAAGAGGATCGCGTCGAGGAGAAGGATCAACCGATCGCGGGGCTGATCCTCGATCACACATGGCTCGGCGATAAGAAGGGGTATGGCGTGCATGGCTTTGGAAACATGCTGCTCCCCTGCTCGCTGGAGACGATGGCGAGGTTCGCGGATTGCGAGGTCGAGGTCGGAGAGCTCCAGGTCGAGCGAAAGCGTGGGGACGTGATTATCGCCGCGCGCGTCGAGCGAAAGCTCGCGGGCGTGACCCTGAGCACGAAGACCGAACCATTACGCGGCCGCGAGCTTTGCGAGGCCGCCGCGCAGATGACCAGGGATAACCGGATCTTCAAGGGGAGCTGGGAAAAGATCCTGGACGCGCTTCATCTTTGGGGGTTGCTCGAGCAGTGGGAGCCAACGCTCGACACCGAGCATTGGGACCTGCGAAAACTGCGCGAGCAGCCCGCGCCAGAAGATCCTGTCACCTACCTCGCGGATCGCTTCGAGGCGCTCGGGTTACGCACGAGCGAGGAGATGGGGTTGCTCGAAGAGGATGACCTGTTGCCTGACGTCGCGGGGATGTCGGGGATCATGGCCTTCGAGTTGGAGACGTTAAGAGAGGACTTCCCGAGGATCTGGGAGCACCTCGGCGCGCGATATCACTGCGTGGTCAATGTGGCGGCGCGCAAGGTGACGCTCGAGCCAGACAACCACCACGCGCGCAAAGCAAAGGAGCCCTCGCGTGATGTGTTGCCGAGGTTCCAGGGCTTCCGCGTGGCGTATCGCCAGGCGAGCCGAGTGCTCATGCTTCGCGGCTAGAGTGTTCCGCTCCAGAGTCGCTGGCCTGAGCAGGTTCATCGAGTGGTGTTTCGGGCAAAACCTCGGCGTGATTTTCTGCGGCGAGGAGCCCCGCTGAAGGTTCTTGCTCGCCGGGAGGAAGGGCTCGATTTTCATCCCATTGCTCGAGCCCGAGACCTACCGCGGTCCCACCGATCACAGCGAGCGGGATGCAGAGAAAGTTCACCAACGGGATAGCGAGCGTGAGGCTCGTGCCGATCCCGAACCCCACCGAAAACTTTCGCTCCCTGTACACGAGGCGCATCTTCTGCCCGAGCCCGTAGCGACGGCGCGCGAGCAAGGTGTCGCTGTACTCGAGCGCGAGGAAGTACCCACCCACCGTGCTGCCGATGATGGTGTAGGCGACCGAGCCGACGCCAGGGATGATATTGAGCAGGAGCAGCGGCCCCATGCATGCGATATAGAGCGCAGCGGTCGCCGCCGAGGACGCCGCCGAGCGAAGCAGCCCTTGCATAAAGGGCTCTTCCTCTCCCTTCCGATAATGCTCGCCGAGCAGGATGCGCTCGGTCTTCTCGGAGAGGATGTCGTTAAACGGTGAGGCGAGCACACCACCGACCACCATCGACGAGACGTAGGCGAGGAAACCTGATGCCGCCAGCACGATCGCGTAGGTCAGGTACCAGAGCCCGGTGAGCAGCCAGTGATACCACGCCTCGATCACGGGTTGGGCCCAGAGGCTGGCAAAGAGCGAGCCTCCCTGCGTGAGGAACACGTAGAGGAGGACGACAAAGAGCGAGAGGTTGATGAGCACCGGCCAGAGGACGTTTGTCCAGAGCTCGCGGTGCTTCATGAGGAACCTGGCGGCCATGAATGGGACCTTTGCGCCAGCGACAAGCCTCGGGAAGGCGCTCCCCTCGCGGTTCTTGAGGACGTGCCGCATCAGCGGATGGAGCCTCTCGTCATCGTGCTGAAGGATGGGCACGGTCGCGCTTTCTGGCCGGGGCACCAGCGCGCCTTCGTCTTGATTACTCATGCTTTACCCACTCGAGAGCTGGGGTGGTGTCGTGATCGCATAGGGGAAGAACCTAAACCATCAAACGCGTATTCGCACCAGCGATACTCCTCACGAGAGCAAACGAAATGTTCGTGTTGTGAGCAAGTCGCGAACGCTGTAAACTCATAGATGTATTACAAAAAACAATACACCCTCAAAAACCAACCCCCACAAAGTCCGATGGCCGCGATGCTGTTTCCACGGCTGTTCACATACAGCGCGTGCGACACATGATGCGAAAACCAAAGAAATGATCGATGTGGTCATCGCGTGCCTAAATCGTGAGTGAGAAAGGAGAGCTTCGTGACAAAGCGGGTACTGATAGTCGAGGACTCGAGCACCATCCGCGATCAACTCCGTAGAATTTTGACCCCGGAGGGGTTCGACGTGCTCGAAGCTCGAGATGGGCTCGAAGGTTTGGAGATGGCGCGCGAGCACGATGATGTCGCGATCATGGTGTGTGATGTGAACATGCCTCGCATGGACGGGATCGCCATGATCACGGTGCTCAGATCGGAGGGGAACGAAACGCCAGTCCTGATGTTGACGACCGAGGGAGAGCCCGAGCTGATCGTTCAGGCCAAGAAGGCTGGCGCCAGAGCATGGATCATCAAGCCGTTCGACGAGCGTCTGCTCGTCAAGGCGATCAAGGGACTGACCGACCAAGGGGGAGCAAACGCATGAACACTTCGAGTGATGACAAGATCCTGACGATGCTCTGCGAGCGCGTCTTCGCCGAGGCGCTCCCTGACTGCACGCTCCTCGACACGACAGACCAGGACAGCGAAGAGGTCGAGTTGGTCGCGGTGGTCGGCTTCTCGGGGGATGACACGCGGGGAGTCCTCGGGGTGTCGGCGCCGCCCGAGCTGCTCGAGCAATTTCACCCGGCGACCTCGGCGGGAGAGTCCCCGAGCCCCGAGCAATTGCGCGACTGGGCGGGCGAACTCGCGAACCAGCTTTTGGGTCGCCTCAAGATCGAGCTCCGTCCTTATGGCGTGCGGTTTTGGGTGGCGACGCCGGTGGTATTGCGAGGCGTGATCGTGAGGATCATGAACGCCTCACACGAGCATATTCACAAGTACACGCTGACCTCGAACGGGGAGCGGATACGCGTCTGGCTCGACTTGACACTGGAAGAGGGGAAACACCTCCAACTTGTCGAAGAAGCAGAAGGCGACAGCGATATGCGCGCTGGCAATATCCTCTTCTTTTGATGTGACAGGCACCGCGACGAACAAGGAACTTTCCCATGCAAGTACTCCAGGGGCATTCACAGGTATCCTCGACAGCGGCGCTTCTGAGCGAAGCGTGCGCTGATTGGGGAGACGCCCGACCCGACATCATCTTCGCCTTCTGCTCGAGCGCGCAGGAACCCGCCGAGCTCGTCTCGGAGCTTCGAGAGCGCTACCCAGAAACGCTCGTCGTGGGTTGCACCACAGCCGGCGAGCACCTGAGCGGCAAGCACTTCAAGTCATCATGCGTGCTCACGGCCCTGGTCGACTCGGGGGTGCGTTGGAGCGCCACGTTGATCGAGGATATCGCGAACATCGACGAGGAGATCGCGCACACCGCGACAGCGGCGCTCTTCGACGAGCTCGACATCTCGCCCGATCGCCACTTCGATCCCGAGCAGTTCTTCTGTTTGCTCCTTGTCGACGGACTCGCCATGGCCGAGGAGCGCGTCGCGACGTTGCTCGCGGATGCGCTCGAAGGGGTCAGGCTCGTCGGCGGATCGGCAGGAGATGACCTCGCGTTCGAGGAGACGCTGGTGTTCTACGATGGAGGCGTCCACGCGGGCGCGGCGTGCGTTGTCATGGGGCACGCCATCGAGGCAAAGGCCGAGTTCATCAAGCATCAGAACTTCGTGGAGACCCCGCGCTCGCTCGTCATCACGCGCGCCGACCTGGCCACCCGCACCGTGCATGAGATCGATGGCTACCCCGCAGCGCAGGCATATGGCGCGGCGCTCGGCCTGCTCCCCTCGGAGCTCTCCGAAGAGGTCGCCAACGTCCACCCCGTGATGTTCAAGTGCAACGGCGAGAACTACATGCGCGGCATCCAGCGCTTTAACGAGGATGGCAGCATCACGTTCTACTGCGGCATCGAGGAAGGAATGGTGCTCGAGATCGCGGATCACGAGGAGATGGTTCATGCCCTCTCACAGGATCTCGAGGATGGCGACCCCGCGGACTTCATGATCGCCTTCAACTGCATCCAGCGCGCGATGGAGTCGGACCGCACGGACTCTCACGAGGACATTTGCCAGGTCATGAACCGGCACAGTCGTCACGTGATCGGCTTCGACACGTACGGCGAGCAGCTCGATGGGTTGCACATCAATCAAACGCTCGTGGCGCTCGCTCTTCGCCACAAACCCTCGAACCCAGAGGAGGTCTCTCGATGACGGATCGTGCCCCGTTCCACCCTGGAAGAGATAATTGGGAACAACGCGCGCTTGCGGCGGAGAAGACCGTCGAAGTGCTCAAGCAGAAGGTGCGCCAGCTTTATGATGAAGGGCGTGATGTCGGAGGCGTCCACCGGCAGCTCGAGCGCCAACGTCTGCGCCGCGAGACGCTCGCCATCCGCACCGAAGAGCTCGAGCGCTACAACGCGCAGCTCGAGCAAGAGGTCGCCGATCGCACACGCGCCATCCGTAACATCATCGACAACGTCACATTCGGGTTCCTCATCATCGATCGAGAGCTGCGCGTACAGGAGGGCTTCACGCGCTCCTGCGCTCAGATCTTCGAGCGCGAGGTCCAGGCAGGAGACAACTTCGGAGAGTTGCTCGGGTTGTCTGCGCGCGAGCGAAGCCACCTCTTCCTTGGCGTCGATCAGATCTTCGATGACTTCCTCGACGAAGAGGTCTCGCTCGGGCAGCTCCCGACGCGCTTCGAGCTCGATGGGCGCGTGCTCCAGGCGGAGGGGCGCGTGGTGCGGTCGGCGTCGAATGATGTCACCGGCGTGCTCTTTACCTTGAGCGATATCACCTCGCTCGAGCGCGCTCGCCAGGAGAGCCAGCACAACGGAAACCTGGTGCGCATCCTGCGGCAACGCGGCGCCTTCATGCAGTTCGTGCGCGACATGCACTCCACGCTGGCCACCGCCGCGGCGATCGACGAACAAATCGTCACTCGCCGCGCCGTCCATACGATCAAAGGCAACGCCGCATCCTATGGGATTCAGGCCGTGGTCGAGCGCGCCCACGAGCTCGAGGAGCAAGAGCAGATCGATGCAGAGAGCCTCGGATCTCTGGAAGACGCGATGCGAGGTTTCCTGCAAGAGAACAGGCAGGTCCTCGACATCGACTACGACGAGCGCGTGGCGCCCTCCTTCGAGGTCAGCGCCGAGCAGCTCGCCAGGCTTCGCGAGCTCATAGACGAGGATGACAATGAGGAGGCTCTCCGCGCGTGGACATCGAGCATCGTCAAACGCCCGATGCGAGATCTGCTCGGTCCCGTGGATGTGTTCATCGACAAGCTCGCCAGGCGCCTGGAGAAGGATGTCCAGTTCGAGATCGAGGGCGCCGATACGCTCGTCGATGCCGAGTTGATGCGCCCGATCACATCCAACCTCAATCACCTGCTGCGAAACGCGATCGACCACGGGCTCGAGCCACCCTGGGATCGAGGTGACAAACCTCGCCAGGGAACCATCGCGGTTCAGATCGAAGAGCAGGATGAATGTTATGAAATTCGGGTTCGTGACGATGGAAGAGGTGTCGACTTCGAACGACTCGCGCAGCGCGCCAGAGAACTGGGCGCGTTGCCTTCAGATGGATCCCCTTCGAGCGACGAGGAGTTGGTGGAGCTGATGTTCCTCGATGGCGTCAGCGCCACACAAATCGCCAACGAGATATCTGGACGTGGGGTGGGGATGTCCTCGGTGAGGATGGCCGTCGAGCAACGCGGCGGCGTGGTCAAGGTGACCACCGCTCCTGGTGAGGGCACCGAGGTTTTATTGAGCATCCCGCGCGATTTTACTCAACCCGAGGATATGCAGTTCGCATGAGCCAGCAAAAACCTCCACATGAAGAAGATCGAGCATCGCTCGAGCGAAGGCTTCGAGAGGCGCTGCTCGAGGCGCAACGCGCCAACGAGTCGAAGAGCCAGTTTCTGGCGATGATCTCGCACGAGCTGCGCACGCCGCTCAACGCCATCATCGGCTACTCCGAGATCCTGTCCGAGAACTTGCAAGACCAGGAACACATCGAAGACATCGGCAAGATCCATGGCGCGGGCAGGCACTTGCTCGCGCTCATCGACAACCTCCTCGACATCTCCAAGGTCGAGGCGGGCGCGATGGAGCTCAACCTCTCCTGGTTCGAAGTCTCGGAGTTGCTCAACGACGTCGCCGCCATGGTCCTCCCCAGAATCGCCGAGGACGGGAACCTGCTCGTGGTTCATGTCGAGCCCGAGATCGGGAAAATGTATGGCGATCCGATGCGTCTGCGGCAAGTCCTGCTCAACCTCCTCTCGAACGCGGCCAAGTTCACCGATGATGGGCTCGTGCGGCTCCACGCCAGCGGCGTGGAGCACGAGGGGCGCGAGTGCGTGCACTTTAGCGTCAAGGACACGGGCATCGGCATGAGCGACAAGCACCTCGCCAAGATCTTCGAGCCCTTCGCTCAGGCAGACAGCTCCATCGCCAACCGCTACGGAGGCACAGGCCTCGGGCTCACGCTCACCAAACGGTTTGTCGAGATGATGGAGGGGACCATCGACGTCGAGAGCGCGTTGGGCTCGGGCTCGACCTTCTCGATCGTGCTCCCCATCAACTCGGCTCCCCCGAACAAAACCGCAGCGAGCGCCTGATCTGCGTCGAACCGCCCTCGACCGACGCCTGTTTGCTTGCTTTCCATCGCATTGGTTGGGAGAATATCGCCGCCCTGTTTTGGAAACTCCACGTTTCGGTTTATCGCTGCTCGGAGGCGAAAAACGTGGGGAGATGTCGATGGTTATTCGTCGAAGAAACGCTCGGGATTGTTTTTGAGAGGGAAAGATGCCCTGGTCGAAGGTCACGCGAAGTTTTGTCCTGCCCTGTGTCGCTCTAATCGCGAGCAGTCTGCTCGCCGGTTGTGGCCTCGAGCCGATCGACGCGAGCGATGAAGACATGTGCCCTGACGGCGGTTGTTCGGACATGGGGACAGGTGCGAACAACACCTCCTTCTTCAACAACACCCTGAACAACTCGGCCACGGTCAACAACACCGTCAACAACTTCGCCCCGAACGGCAGCACGCCTCCAAACAACCAGAGCTCGCCAAACTCCAACACGCCCAACGATGGCTGCTCCGAAGGATCGCTCGAGTGCGTCGACGATCAACGCTTTCGGCGGTGTGTGGGCAATGGTCAGGGCGGCACGGTCTGGAGCAACCCCTCGTTTTGCGACTACGCGAGCTGCTCGATGTCGACGCAGCGCTGCTGCGACGTCCCATGTGATGAGGCGGGCCGCAAACGCTGCATCTCGGGCAAGGTCCAGGAGTGCGTCGAAAACGACGGCTGCCTCGAGTGGGCCGAACCCGAAGCCTGCCTCGAGGGGCAGATCTGCGGCGGCGATGGCGTCTGCATGAACGAGTGCGAGTCCAACTGTCAGCAGGGCGATACGCGCTGCCTGATGGAGGGCGGGCCAGAGTTCCAGACTTGCGTCGAGGTCGCGCCGGGTTGCTTCCAGTTCGGCTCGAACACCACGCAGTGCGGCGCGGGCAAGGCTTGCGAAAACGGTGCGTGTGTACAGGATAACTCCTGTAGCGATGAGTGCTCGAACGAAGGCGCGACGTCATGTTCGGGGACCACCGAGCGCACGTGTCGGCGCGGCGGGGATGGATGCCTCGACCTGGTCAACACGGGAAGTTGTGGAACCCCCAAGGCGGAGTGTTTCAGCAACTCGCTCGGCGGCATCAACGTCCCTCATGGCACGTGCGTCCAGAACGCGACGACCAACACCTTCCACACCTGCCCGGACGGGTCGACCGGGTGCCTCTGGGCATCCTGCAACGACGGAACCTGGGAGTACCAGTGCAACAGAGGCAACCTCGGCGTTTGCGCCGGGAACACGTCTAACGCGCATAACACCTGCAATTGACGAAAGGGCTGGCGCGCGGTTCTCGAATGAGCTAAGACGTTTTTACTCATCGTTAGATACTCATGGGGGTACAGATGTGTTTATGAATAAATCTTCATACACATCCGTCTAACCTCATGAAAGATACAGAAAAAACATCCGGATAACGGATGGGTACACTGCACTTCAGAACTCAAGGAGCAGCAATATGATTCGTGTAATGCGAACCCGTGATCGTGTTCTTGTCATCGCGTTGACCGCATATCTTGGCTTTGCCCTCGCGTGTGGCGGCGGCACCGGCGAAGACAACAACGACGGGAACAACCCGACGACGAATAACGCGACGTCGAACAACATGACCGCCAACAACATGACGACGCCTCCCGCGGGTTCGACCCTGACGGGGAGCTACTCGGAAGGGTTGGAGCTGGTCGCCGAGGGTGAGGGTCCCCACTACACGGTCTCGGGCACGCTCTCGATCGATGGCGGCGACCTGGTCATCGAGGCAGGCACGATCATCGAGTTCGAGGAGAACTCCAGGCTCATCATCTCCGAGAACAGCAGCATCTCCGCAGATGGTACCGCAGAGGCTCCGATCATCCTTCGCGGAACCACACAGAGCGCGGGCCACTGGTTTGGCGTGCGCGTGGACTCGACCTCGCAAAAGAACAACCTGAACTACGTCACGATCGCGCACGCTGGCGGCGACAACCTCGAGACCTTCTCCGAGCCCGCCAACCTGCTGATCCAAAACGCGACGATGAAGGTCACCAACTCGACCTTCACCGACTCCGACGGCTTCGGGATCGCGCACCGCGAGGGCTCGGACTTCGACGCGTTCGAAAACAACACCTTCGAGAACAACAACAGCGGCGCGGTCGCTACCACGGTCAACAACCTCGGCGAGCTCGATGGAGGATCGACCTACAACGGTGTGGTCTGGGTCGAGGACGGCGAGACGAGCGAGGACGCGACCTGGCCAGCCATCGACTCGAACTACGAGTTCGCATCCAACATCTCGGTCGAATCCGGCGTGATCACGCTCGAGCCGGGCGTGCAGATCGCGGTGACCGACAGCAAGCGTATCGGCTTTGGCGTCGACTCCACGATCATCGCCAACGGCACGATGGAGGCGCCGATCCGCTTCTACGGCAAGAACGAAGAGGCGGGGTACTGGCTCGGCATCCGTATCGACTCCAAGAGCACCGAGAACAGCTTCGACTACGTGACCGTCGAGCACGGCGGCAACGATAACCTCGAGACCTTCTCCGAGCCCGCCAACGTCCTCCTCTACGAAGGACGCCTCAAGATCAAGAACTCGACGTTTGCCAACTCCGAGGGCTTTGGCCTGACGAGCTCGGAGGGCTCGAACTTCTCGGAGTTCTCGAACAACGCGTTCAACGACAACGCCAGCGGCGCGCTCTACTTGAACGCGAACAACCTCGGCGAGCTCGATAACGCGTCGACCTACAACGACCCCGTCCACGTCGAGGATGGCGAAGTGACCGAGGACGCGACCTGGCCAGCCATCGATTCGAACTACGCGTTCATCGAAAACGTCTCGGTCGAGTCCGCAGAGATCACCATCGAGGCGGGCGCAGACTTCGAGATCTCGGACAGCAAGCGCATCACGTTTGGCGTCGACTCCGCGATCATCGCAGACGGCACGATGGAGGCGCCGATTCGCTTCTACGGCAAGGCGCCAGAAGTAGGCTACTGGACCGGAATGCGCATCGACTCCAAGAATGGCAGCAACCTGTTCAACTACGTCTCGGTCGAGCACGCGGGTGGCGACAAACTCGAGACCTTCTCCGAGCCCGCCAACGTCCTCGTGCACTCCGGTCGTCTCAAGGTCAACAACTCGACCTTCGCCTCCTCGGGCGGTTACGGCATCGCAGACTCGAACGAGACGGACTTCACCGAGTTCAACACCAACCTCTTCGAGAACAACAACAGCGGCGCGATGCACATCAGCGCCAGCAACATCGGCGAGCTCGATAACGCCTCGACCTACAACGCCGCGGTCGTCGTGAGCCAGTCGGATGCGGTGACCAACGACCAGACGTGGCCAGCGATCGACTCTCACATCGAGTTCGAGGCTTCGGCGAACTTCGAGGCTGGCACCCAGACGCTCGAGCCCGGCCTCGAGGTGCGCTTCGCGAGCGGGCAGCGCCTGAACTTCCGCGAAGACGCAGTCTTCGTCGCAGAAGGCACCAGCGAGGACCCGATCGTCATCCGTGGCACCACCGAAGCTCCCGGCTTCTGGGCAGGGCTCGCGTTCTTCACCAAGAGCACCGAGTCGCGCCTCTCCTACGTCACCATCTCGCACGCGGGCAGCACCAAGCTCGCGACCTTCGTCGAGGAGGCCGCGATCTCACTCGTCGACGCCAACCTGCGCGCCGGTAACGTCACCGTCACCGAGACCACAGGGTTCGGCATCTTCGTCGATGATAACAGCGTCCTGACCGACGAGGGCGGCAACAACTGGGGCACCAACGGCGTCGGCGTCCCCTGAGCGCTGGCGACCCCACATTCGCGTGAGATTTAGAGAGCCCACGTTCACCTCTTGCTACAAGAAGTGAACGTGGGCTTTCTCGTCCTTGCCGTAAACCTCGAGATGCGGCTATCACTTGCACAATAGAACGACACCTAACAAGAATGTCCTCTGGTGTTGGAAACCTCGATGGTGTGAGAGAAGCATATGGAAAAGACAGTCCTCAACCTGGCTTTCTACAAGTTCTGTGATCTGGCCCCGGTCCACTCGTTGAAAATCGAGCTCGAGAAGCTGTGCGAAACACACGGCATCATGGGCTCGCTCATCCTCGGCTACGAGGGAATCAACGGGATGCTCGCCGGCGAGAAAGACAACGCCGAGGCGTTCCTCGCCGACATGAGGGCGCTGCGCCCGGCGTTTGCCGAGATGCCGATCAAGCGCAGTTGGTCCGAGAACGTGCCCTTCCAACGCATGATCATCAAGGTCAAGCCAGAGATCGTGACGATGCGCGTCGATGATGTCGACGCCGTCGCCAAGACCGGCAACCACCTCCCGCCCGAGCAGTTTCGCGACTGGCTGCGCGCTGGCGAGGATATGGTCCTGATCGATGTGCGCAATCACTTCGAGTACAAGCTCGGCACCTTCAAGGGCGCGCTCGATCCCGAGACCACTGCCTTTCACGAGTTCCCCGACGTCGTGCGCACGCATGATACGGACTGGAAGGACAAGAAGGTCGTGATGTTCTGCACTGGTGGCATTCGGTGCGAGAAAGCCACGAGCTGGATGCTCGATGAAGGCTTCGAGGACATCTACCAACTCGAAGGTGGTGTGCTCGCCTACTTCGAGAAGGTCCCCGACGCCGAGAAAGACTGGGACGGCGAACTTTTCGTCTTCGACGAGCGCGTCGCCCTCAACACCAGACTCGAAGAGACCGATACAACTCTGGAGGACATCGAGTCCTCGTAAAGATCCGGTGGCCGTGAACACATGGCGCGCAGGTCCCACCGATGAGTATGGTGCAGATGACCTCGCGCCGCCCAACCTGGAGAGCGCTGTGAGTGATTCCCCCTATCGAACGTTGATGCACATGGCCCTCGTGGGCACCGCAGCGCCCATCTCCTCTGCCGCGCTGGAGAAGGCCGAGGTTCGCGAAGGTGCCCCCTTTCCAGATGCGTTCAAGGCGCTCCTCTCCACCTTTGGCGTCGGCGTGATGCTCGGTCGCTTCAAGCTCCTCGATCCTACAACCCCCTTACAGCCCAACGGCTGGCAGGACTGGAAACGCATCCTCGCCGAGGAGAACCCGACCTCGGGGCTCGTCACCCGTTGGTACACCGATGACTGGGACTTCGCGGACCTGGTCATGTTTGCCATCACCCCTGAAGGGGGCGGTTTGGCCTGGCGTCTCGATGAGAAACATCCAGGCAAGGCAGACATCTGGTTCCTCGACTCTCCCTCGGCCACAGGGCGCGTTCACTGGCTGGCGAGTTCGCTGGAGGAGGCGATCGGGAGGTTGATCCAGGGCCGTTATCTTGGCGACATCAGCGACATCATGGCGCCCTCGCCAGGCGGCGAGTGGAGCTATCCTCCAACCTTCCTCGCCGCAGACGCACCGACGCTCGCGGCAGAAATCACCGAGGTGATCGACGCCTTGCGTCAGGATCACGAGCAGGAAGCGCGCGCTCATCTGGACCACGCGTGTGGCCTCTATTCAGGATACGACGTGAGCGCCGCGCTGCTCGAAAGATTGGGCGGCGTTCGACCCGCGTTCGAGGTCGGCACGATCAACCGCGCGCCCGAGGAGAGCGTGCGCGTCTCCGTCGCGCCGGACCTCGGGATCGAGAAGGCGCTGCACCGCGAGTGGCTCGAGCTCGGGTTGGCGATGCACATCGGTCATCACCCGCAGGTCGAGCGGGATGCGCTCGACCTGCTGTTGTTCGAGCTCGAGACGCGTGAAGATCCTCGCGTCTCGTTCGAAGCCGCCCCGCCCGTCGAAATCAGCGCGCGCACGCGCGATAAGCGACACGAGGATTTGCTGGTGGTGGATATCCGCAACGCGTCAGGCCAGGATTGGGTCGGAGAGCTCCAACTGCTCGAGTTCGATAGCGAGGGAGACCTCCAGGAGATGCGCGCCTACGCCGTGGAGCTTGGCCCCAGAGAAGAGATCGTCCACGTGTTGCGCGGCGTGCCCGCGACAACCCGCGTGGACCTCGAGCTGATCGCCGACTGACTCTTCGAGGTCAGCCCTCGAGCGATCCTGACAGCGCTCACATGCCGCAACCGTGCGCTTCGCGCACGCGTTGGATCTCGGAGAGAATCACATCATCCATCACGAGCGCCATGATGGCGTCATCGTCGATGCCGAGGTTGCGCTCGTTCTCTGTCGCGTCCAGGTAAACCCAGGCGCGCCCCCAGATAGAGAGGATCGCCTCGCGATGGCACGCGTCCCCGAGGATGAACGCGTGCGCGTCGGGGTATTGCGTGCGCGCCATGTGCAGGTAGCGACCGATGTACCAGAGGAAGGTCAGCAGACCATCGCGCTCGCTGATCTGCGAGGAGTAGCGGTCGCGAAACGCGTAACCTGTCGCCAACGAGTTGACGTACTGGGTGGCCTCTTCGAGCACCGAGTTAAAGCCCTGATCGCCGCCGTCGAAGGTGCCATCATCAGGATCACCGTCGAGGTACACATCCGCGTAGAAATCACACCCCGGGGTGTTGGAGCCGTTGCACTTGGGTCGGCTCGGCCCGAACATGTCGCTGTTCATGCGACTGCGCGCGAAGGTCTTGCCGCCGCGGCTGGTGGTGTCACCCTGTGAGCAAGTGAACGAGGTCTGCGAGGTCAGGAAGTAGTGCGCGCCTCCGAATCCACCCTGCCCGAGGTCATAAGAGTGTCCGCACTCGTGCACGACCGTGGACATGGAGCGGAGCACGGCGGCAGGAGAGCTCGTGTCGCTCAGGAACTGATCGATACATGGGAACGCGCCCGAATCGATCGCGCCCTCGACGACCTCGCGACCCAC